AGCTGGGATGTGAACCAGTGCTCCCATGCAGGATGCCAGTATTGCAAACAGCAGCTTAACCTGCTGAGCCACAGCACCGGCCCCTCTTGCCCTTTTTTCTAAGTACTTGTAATCCAAACGATGACTTACAACTTTAAGTCTCAGGAACTTCCAAGTTGGATCTCCAAGGTTCTGATTACATCTGTTGAAAACATGATCTGGGTTAAATAATTCTCATTCTAGTCAATATACCTTTTTCCTCCCCAAATAGTTCATACTTTCTTCTTGTTTAATTTGACCATGAAAGTTATGGTAGTAAAAGTTGAGACACATGTTCTTCAGTGTGAAACAACTTTAGAAAACAGAGAAAACCCAGAATTATTAGGTTACTGAGAGATACTGAAGTTACTGCACTCTTCCTGAGTTGTGTTCGTAACATTTAAGCCAAAATGAACATCAGCAAAAACAGAGGAAAATGGAGTTAAATGATAAGTTCCCATTTTTTCTAAAAATTTACTTGTTTGAAAGGTAGAATGACACAGATAGAGAGATGAGGAGAGAGAGAGAGAATCTTTGATCTGCTGGTTCACTCCCCAATAACAATAGCCAGGGCTGGATCAAATTGGAAGCAGGGGCCTTGAACTGCATCCCACTCTTTCACATGGGTGGCAGGTGGCCAACAACTTGTGTCATCTTCCACTGCCTCCCCAAAGCCATTAGCAGGAAGTTGAATGGGAAGTTGTGTAGCCAGGATTCGAACTAGTGCTCTGATACGGGATACCATCATTACAAGCAGCAGCTAGGCAAACAAAGACTGGGCCAGGCCATAGCCAAGAACTGGGAAGAGAATCCAGGTCTCCCCTGTGAGTGGCAAGAATGAAAATACTTGAACCATGTTCAACAGCCTCCCAAGGGTCTGTATTAGCAGGTAGCCAGAATTGAGAGCCAAAGCCAGGACTCAGACCCAAGCATCAGATGTGGGGTGTGAGCATCCTGTGAGGCCAAATAACTTCCTCTATCTTGGTGCAATAAGTATGGAAGTCTATACATATCAGGAGTCTTCAAAAAGCTTGTAGAGGGGCTGGTGCTATGGCATAGAATGTTAGGCCTCTGCCTGCAATGTCGGAATTACATATGCGCATCAGTTTGAGTCTCGGCTGCTCCACTTCCGATCCAGCTCCCTGCTAACACACCTGGGAAAGTAGTAGAAGGTGGCCCAGGTGCTTAGGCACTTGCACCTGCGTGGCAGACCTGGAAGAACCTCCTGGCTCCTGTCCCTAGATCGGTCTAGCTCTGGCCATTGCAGCCATTTGGGGAGTGAACTAATGGGTGAAGATCTCTCTCTCTCTCTCTCTGCTTCTCTCTCTGTATCTCTGCCTATCAAATAAATAAATAAATAAATAATTTTTAAGAGGCTTGCAGAAAATATGTACTATGAAAAAACTGTGAGTGGGAAAATTGGATGGGTGGGCCATTTGGCATGAGTGGTTGACATCACTTGGGACACCTGCATCCTTGTAACAGAATGCCTGTTACTCAAGTCCCATCTTTACTCCTGATTCCAGCTCCCTGCTAACGCAGATCTTAGGAAAGCAGCGGAAGATAGCCCAAGTACTTAGGCCCCTGCCACCCATGTGGGAGACTCAGTGTTCGTGGCTCCTGGCTTCAGCCTGGCCCAGACCTTGCTGTTGTGGCCATTTGGGGAGTGAACCAGCAGATCAGAGATTTCTGTCTCTCTTTGTCTCTGTTTCTCTTTCTCACTTTCAAATGAGAAAATTGAATTTCAAAAGAACAGTGTGAACTTTAAGGAAAAAAAACTGTTCACTGATTTTACACCCAAATCAACTTATTTTTATTCCATCTTTATGAAAATTTTGAAATACCCTCATATTTGTTGACAGCCAGTTTCTAAAGAACTTTTAATAAATTAATTTCTTTATAATAGGATAATTAATTTCTGGCCCACACCTGTGGGATATTTGAAATGAGCTTTAAAAGAAATGCTCTTTGTGGGATTACTTTAAAACTCTCCATTTTAAAACCTAGATGGGAGGGAAATTTTTTACCTGTAGCAATGTTTTCCATATTTCCTCTGTCCTCATCCCACCACTCTTCCTTATATCATCTGGCATTTGCAAGAAGATCTGATCTTAAAATAGCAAAATGCCTCTAGAAGATACTATCCATTGATGAGAAAAGATGTTCACATTTCTACTTTATGCGGGAAGCCCAAAATGGAAAGGATCTTCTATGATTGCATGTGTCAGACTGGATATGAGAACTGACTGAGGGATTTGTGTTTTGGTTACTGTCTGGCTTTGAGTCTCAGGATGGCAAGGCTGAATGCGATCCTGGGACTTTTATTTGTATAGACCTTGTAGTTCCAAGAGAACTGAAAGCATAGAGAAACCCGATGTTGAACCAGGAGGGGATCAACAATGGGAAATAAGAATGGCTTTCAAAATCACGAGACAGGATGGCAATGGGCATGTGTGGGTACATTCCTGGATGTCCCCTTTTCTGGTGTTGGACATGGACATGTCTGAAAGTAAGGAATAATGAAAAGCATTGGACAACAGCAGAAAATGTACTTTCCTGAGAAAGCACAGCGTCTCTTCAAACTGGGAGTATGTAACTGTCTTTGATATCCACCCCCTTCACAGCCTGAGTCCTCTGAGAGAAAGTTGTTAGCACTGTCCGAAGCCACTGCAATCATTTCACAGTATGGCTGTGTTCATAAAATTACTGTGTGCTGGTGTCTGAATTGTGATGCAGCAGGTTAACCTGCCTCTTGTAATGCCAGCATCTCGTAATGGAGTGTCTGATTTGAGTCCTGGCTGATCTTCTGATACAGCTCCCTGCTAATGTGCCTGGGAAGGCAGCAGTGGAAGGTGGCCCAAGTGCTTGGGACCCTGCACCTATATGGGAGACCCAGATGGAGTTCCAGGCTTCTGGCTTCAACCTGGCCCAGACCTGGTTGCTATGGCCTTTTGGGGAGTAAACCAGCGTACAGAAAACCTCGATCTCTCTCTCTCTCTCTCTCTCTTTAACTCTGCCTTTCAAATCAATCCATAAATATTTTATTTTAAAAGTACCATATATTGCTAGAAATTGCTTACCAGCAAAGGTTTTACTAAAAAGTTAAATGTTTTAAAAACAATGGATCTGGGTCGGCGCCGTGGCTCACTTGGTTAATCCTCCGCCTGCAGCTCCGGCATCCCATATGGGTGCCGGGTTCTAGTCCCAGTTGCTCCTCTTCCGGTCCAGCTCTCTGCTGTGGCCCGGGAGGGCAGTGGAGGATGGCCCAAGTGCTTGGGCCCCTGCACCCGCATGGGAGACCAGGAGGAAGCACCTGGCTCCTGGCTTCGGATCAGTGCAGCACCAGCCTTGGCAGCCATTTGGGGAGTGAACCAGTGGAAAGAAGACCTTTTTCTCTGTCTCTCTCTGAGTATCCATAACTCTGTAAAAAAAAAAAAAAAAAAATGGATCTGGCTTCTTTCCCTAAACCTGCCTGCCACCTGCTAATTTTGTTTTTTGTTGTTTTCTACCCTGGCAGGTTTGCATGAAGATAGCATGAACAGGCCAGTGCCGCGACTCACTAGGCTAATCCTCCGCCTTGTGGCGCCGGCACACCGGGTTCTAGTCCAGGTCGGGGCACCGGATTCTATCCCGGTTGCCCCCCTTTCAGGCCAGCTCTCTGCTGTGGCCCGGGAAGGCAGTGGAGGATGGCCCAAGTCCTTGGGCCCTGCACCCCATGGGAGACCAGGATAAGTACCTGGCTCCTGGCTTCGGATCAGCGCGGTGCGCTGGCCGCAGCACGCCGGCCACGGCGGCCATTGGAGGGTGAACCAACGGCAAAGGAAGACCTTTCTCTCTGTATCTCTCTCTCACTGTCCACTCTGCCTGTCAAAAAAAAAAAAAAAAAAAGAGCATGGACAAAGCAATGGTTGGACTGTGTTTTTTCAATGATTATTCTGGAACATTGCTCAGGGGACCATCTCTGGCTTCAAGGAGTACTAAACCATAAAGTTCTGCTTTATTTAATCAGCAGGACCTAAGATTCTCTGAAGGATGTTGGAGGTGACCAAATACACTTGAATGTGTTTAGCCAGGGAAGTTAAAATAATGGGCTCTCCTGACCCAGGTGTGGAGGTGAGAAAAGGAATAACCTCTTTCTGGTCTTGAAGGAGTCCTCTCCTCTGCCTTCTTTGAGACAGCAGGATCTGTGGATCACATTGGTTCCTATTTCCCTACCTCCTCTACAAAATGGAGGGCAGTGAACAGAATTTGGCAAGTACTGGATAGGTGTTTGGCTGCCACCTTCTGTTACAGCCCTGTGAGTAGCGTTTTAAGGAAATTTTCCTTAAAAATGCATGGTTTGGCCCCTGCTCCTTAGAATGGATGGAACACAGCCTGCCTAGAAATACAGTTCTCTCACTAGAGACTTGACTCCCCCCACCACCACCTTGCATGTTTGTGATTCCAACAGAAAAGACTGGAGGAGGGAGGGGCTGTGGCATGGTGGGCGGAGCCACCACCTGCAGTGCCAGCATCCCCTATGGGCCTGCTCCATCTCTGATCCAGCTCTCTGCTGTGGCCTGGGAGGGCAGTGGAGAATGGTTCTTGGGCCCCTGCACCCATGTGGGAGACATGGAGGAGGCTCCTGGCTCCTGATTTTGGATCGATGCAGCTCTGGGCGGTGTGGCCATCTAGGGAGTGACCCAGCAGATGGAAGACCTCTTTCTCTCTCTCTCTCTGCCTCCCTGTAACTCTGCCTTTAAAATAAATCTTTTAAAAAAAGACTGGGTATATGAGGATGGGTGACAGGGGGAGGTGTGGAAGGAGGATGTGTAGGGCAGTGTACATGGGTCCTTGGAGAATTTAGAGATGGGCAAGACCTGTTGGTGGTGACCTTATGAAACACGGCCCCTTCTGTTAAAATTGCATTCCCTTGGCAGTTACCATCCCTACCACACTAATCCCACTTGACACTTGAAACCAATATTTTGCTAATACATCTTTATTGAAAATACAATCTTTAACTATAAAAACAACAGTGCATCAACTTTGCTTACATATTTAATTCATTTACATTCATTTACCAGGAATTTGATGACTTACTCTGGGTACCAGCCTATGCAAAATTGATATCTGGCAAAAACAACAAAATGAACACACACACACACACAACTTTGGAAAAACTGTCATGAATATTGCACTCTAGAAAATGGGACCTGCAAAATGGCCATTGAAAATAGGGGCCCATGCCACACCTACAGGGGCCAGGCCAAAGGGTGGTATAGGTGGCCTGTGTAGCATAGGCATCACAGGTGGTGCCCCATTAGGCGCCGGAGGCCGGTGGTGGGGTGGTGGCATAGGTGGTGGCCCAGGAGGGCGTGGCATCATAGGAACACATCTCCATGCAGGCTCCAGAAAAGGGATGGCATTGTAAGGCCCCTCGAAGAATAGCCCCATAGGGTGGCCCAGGACAAAAGGGGCCATGTTTCTCAGCATGTGTGCCCTCTGCTGGCGTCTCCACTTGGCCCTTCTGTTCTGAAACCAAACCTTCAAACAAAGAGGGGGAAAAAGGATGGTTTACTATACTGAATAGTCATCATCATGATTAAAAAAAAAAAAAGCATGCAACGCTCTATGCCACTGAGATTTTCAAACTTCAACAGATAAAGTTATTTCCTTATTGCTGAAATATCTTGGCAGAGTAACCAGTTCATCTCTTCCTTCAGCTGACCCTTAGTCAGTTAAGCCTAGTCCAGAGCTTGGCACATTGCTTTGTCTCTCTCTTCCAACTTTTAATATTCCTTCATGTTTTTGTTTAGGTCTCAGATGCAGGTTTGATGAATTTTTTGTATTGTGTCCCAACTGTGAATACACAAGTCTGGTAACAACATAAAGAAATTCTAGGCCATAATATGTGCTTTCATGAATGTTCTGAAGACCCTGCATACACATGGATTAAAAATTTTATTGCATCAAAACAAATTTATCTTTTAATTCCATTTTCTGCAAACTCTGTGTGCGGAGACAGAGAGAGAGAGAGAGAAAGAGAGATGGGAGGAGACAGAAGTCCTACTTTTTCGCTTTAGAAAAATCCCATTTCCTTTGGTCATGGGCAATTTCTATAAGCTGGGGTTTACTTATCCCATTTTCCACCCCCACCTCCGAGGCCCCCAGTATTCAAAACTTACTTGCCAAACGTGGAGAAGACAACAAGAAAAACACACCAACTTCAGAATGTGCAGTTTGAAACCTAAAGCATTATTTTAAGAAACATGTCTGTTTCCCCAAATTTCTTTTTCAAGATTCACTGACCTGCACTCTGGCTTCAGTCAAATTCAGGCGTCCTGCAAGCTCCGCGCTAAGGGGGAGGAGGGGAAATTGCAAATGTTCAGTGTTGGAGTTGTGGCTAAAATGAAACATTTGGGTGTACACTGCTTCTAGCCCCTTCTCCCAGTTTTCTGTAATACATCTTGGGGCTTGCTTCAAGGAGGGTTTGCCCATGAACAACCTAGTTGTTAAATAAAAGGGAATATATGCAAAAGTGCTTGGTAATATATTAGCTGCATACCACGGAACGTAAATACTTTTGTTTGTTGCAAAAGGGGGCGATGAGCCCCCAAGAAGCGAACTCTAAACCACACTGCAGCCAGAAAGCCCCCTCCTCCCGCCCCCCAAACTCACACCGACTAGTCTGGGACTTTCATTTCAGCTGAGCTAGAATAACCCTGCCCTTGGTACATTACAGGGATCTGGGTCACACGGGCTTCCACAAAGGCCACCGAAGGGAAAAGGTCACAAGGTTTGGAAAACTTAAAACTCTGCCTTCTGGTTAGAAAACTATGCGCCAGGTGGCAGGGCTGGGATTACCGTCAGGCAGACTCGCTTGGTCTTGCGCACAAAATCTAAAGCACTCTAAAAATCTCAGCAGTAAGAACAATATCTTAATATTTAAAAAATGCAATGCAAAAACTCATGATAAACAACTATCAACATTTTAAACATGGAGCCAGAGTTGTTGGCAGCCGATTAACCCGCTGCCTCCCAAGTTCGGGCGGTTTGCGCCCCCTGCGCTCGGATTC